TTCAATATCACATGCCATCTCACAGACACCCTTCAGATTCCTAATCAGGGGCCAAAAATTGACAATAACATAACCAATGAGCATCCTGAAGGACTCTCTCATCAATGAATTAGCTATCTATCGGATTACTGTGAGTCACCTTCTACCCAATAGCTTAGTCTCATTTTGCGGAAGGAGCTCTTCATATAGGGATCAATAATTGATAACCAGACTAGAATAATTGACCAGCAAAACCAAGCTGACCGAGCAGGTTCAATATCACATGCCATCTCACAGACACCCTTCATTCCAATGACTGGATTGTGATATTGAACAATCTAAATGACTGGATTGGCAAGACAAACTAAATGATTAGAAGACAAATATATAATTACATATAATAAAAAGTAAAATTATTTTATGAGAATGGGCTAATCAACAATTCATATTACTGTTCATTACTGTGCATTCTTCTCTTTCTGTCTCTCTCTCTGCCTTACGCTCTATTCCTTGAGTATGATTCATGGAAAAATTAAAATGCAAGTGCCTATCTTGTAAAACGAGCCCTCCATGGATTGTCCATGAAGGAAGTGAAGATTACGCTTTGTTTGGATGCAGGATTAAAATATAGGAAATACAACAACATCCCAATTAATTATTTGTTGGTTGATTGTGAATCTGCAGCAGTTCATCTGAGCTTTCCTACCATTTTTAATTTCTTTTGAAAAAATATTGTTTTCATTTTTTTTTTATTTTTATATATTTATTTATTTTGTCACAGGCTGCCATTGCTGCAATTGCTGCTTTCTTTGGGTTGATACAGCAAGCTGCTAGATGGTAACTAACTACGAGCGTTATAACGCATTGCTTGTATAAATGCATAATTTAACCCTAAAATTTGAATTTTATATGAACTTATTTCATAATCATGATTTATTTTACTCTTTTAGATGTGTTGTTTATTAAACAGCGGTCTGAATTTTCTTGACATACTCTTTGCTGTAATCCTGTTCATTTTGTAGGACATAACTAGCAAAATCTCAAATTTGGAATTACGTTAGTGGAGGGTTTATAATGTCATTATTGGTGTCAATGAATTTAAGGGCCATTTAGGTACATTATCGCAATTCCTCCCTATCTAACAGCTATATTTTGATTTTATATTTATAACAATTAAATCATTAATATCATAAAAAAATATCACTAATGCTAAAATTTTAAAAAATAAATAGGTTTTTCTACATATAGATAAAATGTTATAAGTATAAAAATCAATGTTTAGATGTTAAATATATAAATAAGGAAGAATTTGTATAAAATCTTTAATTCAAGGGTACACACAATTCAATTCTTATGTATTTAACTATTTCAACAAAAGTTAAAATGGCCGGATCGGCAAGACAAACTAAATGATAACAAAATTGGTCCAATCCAAATCTAACCAAGCCCTAGATCAAGTCATTGAATCACATTTGAAGGTTTTGGGTAGTTAATTGGAAGATCAAATGAACTCTAAACTTGATATATCTATAGTCAAAAGCAGTGTCTCAACAAGAGGAATCCAACGAACTCGAGATCACTCGATTCTGTGATCATTAGGGTCATTAGATTATAAGAAAATCTCTTATGATTAAGAGAAGTTAACGTGGGTCTTTCATGCTAAATAGTCACTCTTTTGCCACAAATCTTTTGGCATTCAATAGTTCGATGTCATATGTGGGAACCGAAATCCTGTTGGATATAGTCTTGAAGTCTAGGATGCCAAGCTCATGTTTTGTTTTCTAGTGATACACATCACCTTGCTGGTGAAGGATTGTCAAAGACTCCTCTCGCTATTATGGGATTCATCAAAGTGAAAGTCACTAAAAGATAAATTTTGAAGCATTTTCTGATGAGTGGGGCAACATTCACTACAGTCTCGAAAGATTATTCACATTAATGTTATGGGCAAGATTTTGGTGGGGTGGTTTTCTTGCTTCTCATTCAAACTTCAACTCATGACAGGAAAGGGAGGGGGGCTTCACTATAGTCTTGTAAGGTCGTTTTAATTTCCTGAGCAGGATTATGGTACGGTAGTCTTCACACACCCCATTTAGATAATAAGTCAGTGAGAACTAATTACAGCCTCAGCGAAAACCTTCACTGTAGTTTTGAAATATCATTTACTTTAACGTCTTGGGCACGATTGTGGAAGGTTAATCTTCACGCATCTCATTCAGACATTAAGTCAGCAAGCACCAATTCCAGGTTCTAGGGCAACCTCACTCCAGTATCGGAAAGTCGTTCACATCAACATCCTGGGAATGATGGTGGGGCAGTCTTCCTGTATGTCATTCAATCATCAATTCTATGAGAACCACTTACAGGTTGAGAGGCAATTTTCATCACAACCTTAAGAGAACACTCATGTCAACATCTTAACATAATAATAAGATCAACCATTGACTGGAGATGCCAACTAGAAAGTGTTTTCAGTGTCCCCTCATCTTACTGGAGTTTTTCTGGACCTCATCAATAATGGATACGTGGGTTGACCTCATCTTAAAAAATAGGCTACGATTGTCAAGCATAAGGTCTTACTACCAACCTAGGATAACTCAAAAATCATTGGTGGATTTCCTCTGACCTCTTCAAAAATAAGCTACAGTTTCAAGCAGAAGCTTCCACTAACAGCTTAAAATATTTTAAACATTATTGGTGGATTGCATTGGACTTTATCCATAATAGGTTAATGTCGTTGATCACTTCCAATTATACAACCTAGGATGCATCTTGTTGATTTTGTCCATAAGGGGTTAACGCTCTCGAGCATCTCCGACGGTACAACCTTAGATGGTTCTTACTTTCATAGGTGGATTTCATTCAACTTTGTCCATAGCAGGTTAACGTCTACAATCTAGAATGTGTTTTATATTCTTGGTGAATTTCATTCAACTTTATCCATAATAGATTAACACTTATGTTTGGTTGTACAACCTAAGACGAGTTTAAAATTCTTAGTGGATTACAATTGACTTATTTCATTACAGACTATGGACTTGGAGTGGATGCTTCGACTGAGCAGTATAAAAAAGATCAATCATTCTTAATGGTAAACACGGTCTCCACTCATGCCCTTGGAAGACACGTACATGAGGCAGTATCAATGGGAAGCTAGCAGTGGACACAATCCTCACTAGAAATACCCCTTGAGGGCAAGCGGTACACACAATCATTACTTATTACCACTAGAAGACATGTTCATGAGGTAGTCTCGATGGGAAGCTAGTAGTGGACACATTTCTCGCTAGAAAGATTTCCTGAGGGAAAGTAGTAGAAAATATCTTCACTCATACCTCTAGAAGGCATGCCCATGGGGTAGCCTCAATAGTGGACAAGGTTCTTGCTAGAATAACTTCATAAGAGCAAATGGTTGATAGAGTCCGCATTAAAAAATTCTCAGAAGGCTATAAGCTTCTGAATATATATGTACATCAAAAAATTTCATATGACTATAAGCATCAGAAAGTATAAGTTGTGTTGACCTCAGTTTTGGTTGAGGTCTAGTTCCCTCCTTAGCAACCTAGGGTCTAGTCATAGGATTTTTCTATTGACTATTCCTAGAGGACTAGAAAAGGAACCTTCTTATAGGACTCAACTTGAAGTTCCATATACTGGTTCTAACCCTTAGCACTTAGTAGGTGGGGCCACTATAGGGGAGCTTAAGGAGAGTCCTTATAGGACTGCTTGACCGTAGGGTTGACCCTGGATGTTGGTCTGGAGCTAGTTCACTCACTTGCACCCACTCGCACTCATTGTCACTCACTTTCACCCTCATTCACTCACAACCCTAAACCCAACTTGTTAACTTTGATCCCTCGATCTTTTGGGAGACTCATGTTGTTGATCCCCTAGACCCACTAGCTCTATGCTAGAGTTTAGATAAGACCAGTAATGAAGGAGGATTCCGTTGGTCCATGGCTCAAATCGAGTGGTTTGCACCTCAATTTCTTCAAAATACCTTCCCAAAACCGTCAAAATCATTTCAAATGTCCCCAAAATCAATTTGGACACTTCAATTGAACTCAATTTGATCCCAATTTCCCCCAAGTTCAATTCTAAACTCAAATTCATCGTGATTAAACTCAATTCAAACCAAGTCCAAGCCCAATTAACCACATTTGAATCTAATTTTAACCCAAATCCAAAACCTCCAATTTTGCCACAATTTAGCCATGCCTCCAAATGTCACTTAATTAATGCCCAAACCCCAAAATTGACACCCAATTAATGCTGAGAACACTTCATGACATTCTCCTAGACCATTTTCAACCATCAATTTGGACTTAACCCAACTCTAGCCCAACCTAAACCCAAGTCTAACCCAACTTCCCCAAATTGACTAAATGCCCAAATTCCTTCAAATTGACCTACCAAATCAATTCAAATCTTTTCTAGACCTCTCATGACAACTATCCACATAATTTTGATCAATCAATTGAGCTCGAACCAAAATTTTGACGAAAATTGAATTCGACATGTTTTTGACCCGATCGTCGACGAGGTTGTCCAAACGACCTTAGATGACAAAACGGACTGCGTCGACGCGTTCACAACATCGATTTTACTTATGAGGACGTTCATTTTGCTATGAGGCCATGCCCAAACGAAAAATATGAGAAGGATAATTATATTATTATCATTATTATTATATAACAATACTAATATAATATAAAAATACAAATACTATATCATATCCCTATTTTATTTCTCACGCATACAACTGACGTCTCCTCTGTGCCCTATCAGATCACACGCAATGCTCCTAGGCGTACAATCTTATTGTGAGAGATCGCTTGCTCCTTTGTATTCTCTCAAGCCGCAAACTCACTCCCTACCTCGTTAACTAAAGACCGAGCGCTCCTGCTCCTTCGCTCTCACTCGGCCCATCCTTCTTCTCTGTCGCGATCCTTATCTTCTGCTCCTCTGCTGACCGGCGACTTTATATATGCTTAAAAATATAAGATAAATATGGATTTAATAAATATTCAATAATTGTAAAGTCACTCTTATCAACGCAAGTATACGTATCGCTCAAGTAATATAGGGCTCTAATGGAGTCC